GGGACATCAGTTAGAAGTTTACTACTCTGAATTGTTTCTCTGATAACACCTATAAAGAGAAATTTTTAGAAGAGATATAGCATAGCAAGTGAAAAGTCGAGGATCATGTAGGAACTAGAATGGTGTTTTGGGCTTAAGTTTCACTGATTTATGTCAGTTCACTTAGACTTTCTGCAGAGTAACCCCAAAACTTCACTTTGCAGCTCCCAATACAACATGTTCACCTACTTGCTGTTCACTAATTGAAGAAATCCCTAATATCAAGTTATGGTGACAAAAAAGTACTCCAAAAGCCTGAAAACTCTGGCATCTCCATTAGGTGCTTGAAAAACTCATTTAGGTCAGTAACTTTTGGTCAGATGCCAAGTCCTCATTAGCTGGTTAATTTTATTCTTTTGAAGTAACAAAGGCTTGAGGAAAAAGTGTGAAATGAAAAAATCACAATTCACAGGTATCTCATCTGTCTGCTGTAGAAGTTAAAATTTTAACTAATACAATGTGACTGTGCAAATTTTCTTAAACTTTCTAACTTTGTATGTTTCCTGGGTCATTCTTAATGCATGTGTCTATTTTCTGCACTTATCAGTAATTCCATTGCACAGGCTACAACATACAGTGGCAAAACCAAATAAATTTGTGGAAAACGTAGCTATGATACACATTGCTCCCTATTCCAAGTCAGTCTTCTAATGCCAAATCCTGTATATTTGAATTTATCTAAAGGATTTCTTATGAGAAACCAAGTGGAAACTTGCAGGCTTCATTGAAACAAAACCACAGATAGCCAAACATCTCAGCATTTGTTATAAGAATTTGTGAAAAAAATTTTTAACTTAATATATGGTTACAGGAATGACTAATTTATAAAACCAAACCCCCAAAAACCAACTAAACTTGTAATCCCCCCCCCAAAAAAAAGCCAAAAAAAGCACTTTACAATGTGAAGGTTTTGGACCCACTTTGATTTTTCTCTTATTCTGTGTCATTGTGCCTTACACTGAGTTCATTTGTAGTCACTTGACTACCCCAGCAGAAGTCCCTCTGGGCTCTCCTGTCTGATAGTATTTTTCTGGAATGAGTTAGACTAGCATTTGCATTTTTCCAGGAGCTGAGCTCCTCTGCATTTTGCATTTGCTTCATTAATTCTTCTGTACACAATTTCAAGAAAATGGTGGCAAACCCAGTAATGTATACAAATAAAATAGTGTAAAATAGCATGAAATGAAAAAGAAAACCTTGTGTGAATATACAGAAGATGAATTAATGTCATAAATGCAGTAAATATGATAATTTTTTTTTGTTTCAGGTTTAAAAATGTCTGATTGGAAAAATATTGTACACAGAACCCAACGTATTGAAAAACTGCTGTCTGAGAACAATTTTCAAGATATTGAGGATCATCTTAAAGAACTTGAAGATATTGATATGATTGTAGAATATCTTCAGGGGACAGAAGTTACCAAGGCTGTATACAGAGTACTCAAGAGCTGCCCTTCAGGACGGTTGAAAAAGAAAGCAAAGCAGTTATTATCAAGGTGGAAAGCACTTTACAAGAATAACTGTGTTCGGTCAATGCAAGTTAGACAGTCATTTTCTGCGTATGTGAAAGAGGAAATCGGGCATTGCAGTGTGGTTCCTAGAGAGCAGTTGCTGTCTGAAGGACCATATCAGGAGGAGGCAATAGCTGGTACTAGTTCCAGCTTTTTGGTCCCATCACAAACTGTTAAAAATGTGGCATGTAACAATGCAGAAGGCAGTGTGAATCAGCCTTCTTCTTTTGAGGAGCAACACATTGTTAATGACGATTCTAAATCTGTTGTTAATGGAGCAAGTCTGCCATCAGGACCCGATGAGAGCTCTTAGGTATAAATGTACAGATCTTCTATATAGAGCTTTGATTGGTTCTGCCAAAGATGAAGAAGAAACTGTTAAATGGCTACAGTTATCTGAAGAAATTGAAAAACATATTTTTACTCTTCATGCTAAAAATGACAAAAAATATAAAAATTGCATCAGAAGTAAAATCTCTAACCTGAAGAACCCTAAAAATTGCCACTTGAAACATAACCTTTTTACAGGGACTTTGAGCCCAAAGGCTTTTGCTGAGATGACAGTGATGGAAATGGCCAGCGATGAACTGAAACAGCTCAGGGCTCAGTACACAGAATCATCTATTCGGGAACATCAGCTTCCACAAGTTATTAATGGCACACAGACAAACAAAATAAAGTGTAGGCGCTGTGAAAAATTTGATTGCACTGTCACAATGATCGCCAGAGGAACTCTCTTTCTTCCAGGTTGGGTGCAAAACACGAATCCAGATGAACAAATGTTGACTTACGTTGTTTGTAATGCATGTGGAGAGCAGTGGTATCACAACAGATGGATTTGTTTGTAACACTATCCCTTCTGAATAAGTGGTTTGCAAACATTGATATGAGAGAGTGCTGCCACAGCCCGAGGGAAAAAGGGATATGGACACGGCACCACACAAAGGGTTCAGACGCAGCTGAGGGTCTGGGTGCAATGCCGATTTATTGAGAGAACACAGGGACTTATATAGGGTAAATCTGAGGGGAGGATTCAGAACTGGGGAGGAGCATGGGACTGACAGCTCAGGGTAAGACAGGACTGGGAGACAGGGGAAAGGTGGGTGTAACTTCTGGGTATCCAGGGGAAAGGACCAATGGTAGCTCACTCTGCACTGCAGCAAGCCTCAACCGATCAGTGACAGAGGAGCAGGAAAGCAGGGGAGAACAAGGTGGTAAACAACTTTTGGCGGGAAAATCTGAGGGACAAAGGGGAATAATATTGGGGTACATTAAACTTGATGCAAAACCAATGATGAACTGGGGAATAACAGTCAGTCCAATAAGTTAACAGTCCATTTAAGCTCTGTAAATGTCCCTCCACGCTTGAAATCTCTCCCAATCGGACTTCTCATTCTCCTCATCTCCCCCTTCTTTGTTTATTGAAGCGGTGTTGACATCGACACTTCTTAGCAGCAACTTGCAGAGGCATACAACTAAACAAGGTAAACAGGTTAAAAGTGCAGTGAGGACACACACGGAGATCACAATCATGATTATTATTTTTCGGGACCATTTGGGAAGTGAGGGGAGGTTTAGCCAATCAAACAATCCATCCAACCCCTCACTGCGGGATTGGTGGATATCTTGAACTAAATTTTTCAACTGATTGATACTCTGATGAATTGACTGTGCATGATCCAAAAAATTCATACAGCACATGCCTTCTAACTCCTGGCACCCATGTCCGTGTGCCAGGAGTAGGAAGCCAATGGCTGCACGATTTTGTAAACTGATTTCTTTTAACTTGTGTGTATCTGCTAACAGGCCTTCGATCGCAGTGGTGGTGGCATTAGCTTACTTGGTCAACCAGCAACCAAAGTGGGTCAAAAGGGATAGGGCATGGGCTGTTCCTATCCCCGGGATTGGGAAGGAAGCCCAGAAGTTTTTCATGCGGGACCAGATGTGGATGTTGGAATCGCAATCCGCCGGGAAGGGTAAAGGAGGTGGCGGAGTGACGATTCCAGTGTCCACGTGTGGTGCCGCAACATCACGGGGAGTAGTAACTTTTGGTTTTGGGCTGGTGGCGCGTGGTGTTGTTGTCTTTGGCTTAGGAAACCTAAGTGGTGTGCCCATTGCAAAGGATAGGGATCTTTTAACTTGATTCTTAGGGGTAAAGGGTTGATCCAATAATTTAAACTTCACTGGGTTAAAAAGTGCCAGTTTTCCTCCTGTGCAGGGACCCCCTTCCAGGTAAGCAGGAATACCCTGCCATGCCCGATCCCCACACAGAAGGAAAAATCCTTTTGGGAGTCTCATATTTCTCGGCACAGGTTCGGTTGCTACTGTAGTAGCAATCAAATTGTTACACCACAGCGAGGGGGTTCCTTGGTAAATTGGTCTGCTAGCGGATACATTATGGGGTGTGAATAGATTGGGCTCCATGTAACGATGAAATAAGATACAATTATTGGTGGGGAGAGAACCAAAGAGGTCAATTTTTTGGGGAGGATCTGCAGTGAAAGCTTGGCCGGAAACAACCTGTGCTTAGTGTAACAGCGTTTAGTGGCAGGGATCCCAGACTCCGGGTTTGTGATACAAAAGCATTCCACTCCTCACCCGGAGTCACAGGAATACCCACTAGGCACCTTTGAAAGGGGTTACCGGCACTGGACAAGGCCAGGCACAAGGTGTCCATCCCAGTGGCCTTGGCCAGCGTTACCCACAGGTTCTCTGTCAGCTGCTTCATCCACTCTCTCGGGGGAGATGAGGTAGACTTGTTGCGGATCAGTCCTGAAGTGCCGATTAAGATGATGCAGGTGCAGAAGGTCCACATCTTGTGTTGGGATCCTGATGTATTCGTATGCTTCTTGCTGGGACCCACTTAGGTCCTGTGCCACCTGAAATACAGGCGTACCCTTTCCCCCAGGTGATCAGGGGAAAAGGGCCCGTCCAGATTTCTGTTATGGGGTCTTTGTACATTACTTTTGCTTTTTGAGTACTCTGTGGAAAGTCAGATTTAAAGTGCTTGTCTACAGGACTTCTGTTTGTGTGAGTTTCAAATTCCTCCAATAAATTTAAAAAATTTAAGATGTACATCACTTTCTCTAATCTCTCTTGGGGGGTCATGCCTGTACTCCCCCTTCTTTGTTTTTTGAGTAAATTTTTTATGTTTTGATGTGCTCTCTCTACCATGCCCTGCCCTGTGGGGTTGTGTGGGACTCCAGTGGTATGGTGTACCCCCCATTCTTCAAAGAATCTCTTGGTGTCTGCAGATACGTAGGAGGATCCGTTGTCAGTTTTTATTTGCTTTGGGACATCCATCCTAGCAAATGCAGATAAAAAGTGTCTTTTCACGTCTCTGCTTTTTTCACCAGAATGCACGGTGGCTACGATCATTTTTGAGAATGTGTCAATAGACACATGTACATATTTTAGTTTTCCAAATTCTGCTATGTGCGTGACATCTGACTGCCAAATCTCCAATGCTGTTAATCCTCTGGGGTTACTTCCTTCTGGAACTAGTGGAGCAACCATTTGGCAGTCAGGGCACGCTTTCAAAATTTCTTTTGCTTGAGCCAATTTTAAGCCTAATTGTTTCTGTAGTGACCGCGCATTCTGGTAAAAAAATTCATGGGAGATTTTTGCTTGCTGGTATAAATTGGGGGTAACAACCATACCTGCCAGATGGTCGGCAATCTGGTTTCCCTCCGCCACAGGACCTGGCAAAGTAGTGTGAGACCTCGTGTGGACAATATAGTAGCCGAATTTCCCGTTTCCAATTAAAAATAGCAAATTTTTCAACAGATTAAAAAGTTTTCCATTAGATACTTCTTTCAAATACGAATTTTCAATCCTTTTGACAACGCCCACAACGTATGCCGAATCTGATACAATATTAATGGGTTCACTGTTAAAAATTTGGAAGGCGCGAACAACTGCTGACAATTCCATGATTTGTGGAGAACCTTGAACTTTATGAATATTCTGTTGCCAATTGCCGTTTTCTCGCCAAACTATTACTGCATTTCTGGTTCTCCCAGATCCATCGGTGAAAAGCGTTTTGGCATTTTTTATTGGAAGGTCTGATTGCATAATTTTTAATTTTAATGGAATTGGAATCAGTCTCTGTAAAAATGGGCACACCGGGAGGTGAAATTTGACTTCTCCCGGGTAACCCCCGATGGCAATCTGAAAATCCATGGAATTCTGCAGCAGTTGTTCCAGATGTTCAGAAGTCAGTGGGAGGTAAATGCAACCTGGCTCCTCTCCACTGAGTTCCAAACACCTGGTGCATCCTTTAAAGATTAACTTGCCAATCATTTCAAAAACGATAGTTTTTGAAAATTGATGTGGGAGGAATATCCACTCCCACAAACAGAAGTCCTTGGTGTCGCTTGTGAATTGGCCCAGAATGGCCAGTGGTTGTTGCTGTTCCCTGATAATAACTAGGGAAGATGGCAGTCCCTCCATCTTTCTGTAAGATTGTCTCTCTGAGATTTTGTTTTCAACTGTGGGAAGGGCTTGTTCTGCTTCTGTTGTTAAAAATCTGGGGGAGGACAAGTCTGCATCTCCTTTGAGCAATTCAAACAAGGGGTGCAAATCACCAGTTGTGATCCCCAGCACTGGTCAGATCCAATTGATCACTCCCAACAGCTTCTGGAGGTCATTTAAAGTTCGGACTTTCTTATCAATCAAAACTGATTGAGGCTTAATGGTTTTGGCAGTAATTTGGAGTCCGAGATACCTCCATGGTGCTTCCCTTTGTACCTTTTCAGGGGATACTTCCAATCCTTTGGAATTTAGAGCCGAAATTGTTGAATTTAGAGTCTGCTCAACTGCCAATTTTGTTTTGGCACAGATGAATACATCATCCATATAATGGAAGATGATTGACTGTGGGAATCTTTTCCTGATTGGCTCCAACACTTTTGCCACAAACATCTGGCATAGCGTAGGAGAATTTTTCATCCCCTGGGGAATTACCTTCCATTGGAACCTGCGATGGAGTTCACAAGCGTTGATGGCCGGGATTGAGACTTCTCATTCTCCTCAGAGTGCCTCTGTTGAAACTTATAACTTCAAATTCTGTATTGATACTATGTAGATGCTGTCACTAAAAGGTGCAAGATCAGTTTTAAAAAACTGCTAATGTATTTTTGAGGATGACTTCAATAAATCTATGTGGTTTTAAGTAATGTACATATGTAAAGAAATAAAAGAGTAGAGGGAAAAAAATTGTGACATGGTTATGCTATATCTGAGAGTGAAATATTCACTAGTAAATCCATTAAAAATATTCTGAGTGCTGCATTTTTTTTCTCAAGGGGCTGAGTATTTGGAATTTTTGTTATATTCAGCAGGAGTTCTTTCACAGAACCTAAGTTTCATTTACAGTAAACAAAACTGTTTCCAAAACTGCAGTTCACATACTTGCCTGCATTGCAGAGTGTTCAGCATGGATTCACTCCTTAATTAGATCACTTTTTGCAAGTAAGTGTTAAATTATTAAGTTGGTTTGAGAGGTAATTTCTAACAGGAAAAGAAACAAAAAATAGAATGTAGAGGGGGAGAAAACAGCTAGCAAATGAAAACAGGAATGACATCCTGCTTTAGCTTTTTATAGCTGTTGGAAAGAAAACAGGACCTGTGACAGTCTATCAGCATGCAGTCCAGATTTACAATATAAGGTGATGTGTCCCACAACTGTTAAGAAATTAATGTAGGATCAGAGAATGGATTATTTCAAAAAATTATGTAAATATATTATTGAATTTATCTTTGTTATAAAGGCATGAAATTAATAGGCATTAATCAGTTTCTGAGTGGATATCGTCTCTGGAATTGGGACATCTGGCCTGAACTGAGAAAATTAATGTTTTTATATTGTGCATTCTGGTTAATCAGAAACAATGAATAGAAGGAAATCTAATAGCTAAAGTTTTTATACATATTTTTGTTCCAGCATCAACGGGATGTTCACTGATTGTATACTATAAGCATTTATTTATTTAAAAAAAAATCATCCCGCATTCTTCTCACTTAAGTAATAGCCCTGTGTCTCTTACAAATGCACAACAGGCATTTTTCGGTTCAAGGCTAAAATGCATCAGCAGAGCAGGCAAACGTGGTGAGTATTGGCTGGAGGAGTTGAGGCTGGTTCCTGCACCCGTCTGGCTCTGACACAGCTGGGGTTGGTCAGCTCCTCTGGGCTGAGACACTGCCCTGGAGCTCTCCAGCCACATGACCTGCCAGAGAAAGGAGTTAGGGACATGAGATGAGAAAATAGCTGTTGGTGAACTAAAAGCCAGCCAGGACTAAGAGACAGGCCTTTTATCTGTATGTGGGGAAAATGGTGTGTAACCTGTTATTAAGAAGAGACACTTAAAATATTCTACTAAAAAAAAAAAAAGAAGAAAAATCTTTCCATTCAGTGGAGTATTAACAGTTAACTTTCAATGTTGTGGTTTACTGTGGTATTACTTAAGATTTTTATCATGTGAAAATGTGCGTTCTAGGGGAATTGCACTGATGTAAAATATATATTAAAGCTTTACACCAGACCCCTGGTGTTCAACTGTGTAACCAATCAGTGAATATCTGCCCTTCCTTCCCAGCCCTTACCTGTGTGCTGGAATTGTTGGTTACAAGTAGTCCTGCTTGTTTAAGTGGGAGTACTTCTGTGTAAAGTATTATTCTTAGCTTTCAATGAAACTACAGGAAGGCAAACACTTCTGTGTGACTGGTTCACAGTAGGCGCAGCATTGTTGTGTGCAGTCATTTTGAAGGTCATGGTCCTGTTGAGGAGAGCTGTACACCGGTACTGTGCTGTGTCAGAACACCGTGTAGCAGAAGACTATTTTAGCTGTGAATAACAGACACTTATAAATAATTTCTGCCTGCAGTTGGTTTTGAAGCCATTCCAGTAATGTAGAGCTCATCCAAGTTTTATCTTGCCAACGGGAAATGTTACAAGGCATGGACAGTGTTTTTGACAGAATATATTTCAAGGGTAAAATTTATAGCTGTAACACTGACTACATTTGTGACATAATACATAACATAATTTTCTTTTGAACTGCTCATCCCTAAATATGTAGTGCTAAGCTGTATCTATGATCCATATTTACTGAGCAGGTAAACAGCAAGTATGCAAACAGCAGGTATCTTAAAACTTTTAGATCCCTAAGTTCAAGGGATCAAGCCTGCCTCACTGTGATCTGAGTGAGCCATGCCAGCAGCAGCAAGAGGGTCATTTGGTTTTAGCCTTTCATATCTTGATCTTATCTTTTAAGATGTGGGAATAATAAAATCCAGTTACTAGCAACTGCAGTTGCAGATTATGGTATAGAGACCATAAGGTTAATAACTACAAATAGTAATAAAATGAGTTATAACCATGCCTCTTTAAAACTGTACCTTAACTTTATTCTGTTACAAGCTGAGAACAGTCAGAACTCTTAGGGCAAGTACTTGTACCCTTGCAGTTGTAAACTCAGCATTTTAAAGTAGTTTTCTGTGGTAATACATTGTGAGCAGGCATTTTTCCATTGTTTTCCTTCCCAATGACAATTGAAGAACCTGAGAACTGGCTTTGTAGCAAGTCCAGTTAAAACTAGACATTAAAAGATGATAATATATTTGGTAAATTTTGTGAAATCCAGTAATCATGAAAAGAATTTCTATTCCTGTTGAAAGAGACAGAGCCCTTAACCTTTACTCAGGAGTTACCTAGTCTAAGCTGCTGGCTGCTGGTGCAACGCACACATAGTTTTAAGTATTACCTAAAAACCAGGCAAAAAATACGCTCCCGCTTGCTCAGATGGTAGTCTGGGACAAGGAGGACATCTGGGAATAGTGGCAGAATAGAGCAGAAAGTATTGGGGGACAGGAAGAGTGAACTGCACTGTATTACGTATGCCGAGGACACATATCTCTAGGAAATGAGGCTTTGTTGTTCTGGGGCCGGTGAAAAAGCTGATCTAGGTTCGGTTTCACTTTATGCTTAGTTCATGCTGATAAACATGCTGCCACAACTTCACATCATAGTGAAACTATACAAAATCATAAATTATTGTATTACTTTCTTGATCATCTTATGCTTTTGGTTATTTTTACCTCATACAGTTCTTTACCAATTTGGCCATGTTTTCATCTGTATTTGTATCTGATGCTTGTTACTTGAAATATTTAGTAGAAGCCAAATGTCATGTGTGGCAGCATGTACTGCTACATATGAGAATAGTCTACAGACGTGAAGTGCCAAGTATGAGAGATGGTCATTCAAGTGAACCATTACTCTTAAGTAAGTGTGGTCATAGTTTCACTAAGCAAAGTACTGCTCCAGGCCACAGTTTGTCAACAGGTTATGTTGTCCCTACCCAGATTGTGTAACTGTGCAGGCTTAAAATATTGGACTGGATAAGATGGTATGCTTCGTCTCAAAATGTCTCTAAAAAGTCAACTTGCAACTACACAGTGTATGTACCAGCAGCAGTGTGTAGATCACTGGAGTACAGGGAGTACAGGGTCCACAACAAGGATAAAAGAAAACTGAGATTCTTCTGTTGAAGTTGCCTCATTTCAATTTATTCCAGGTGGTAAAAAGATCTCTTAACTTTCTTAAGCATAGAAAATTAGTTTTGGGATGATGTTTAGCTTGTCCATGGTGCTACTCCAAAAAGGAGTGTGACATTAGAGGTGATCCACAAAAAACATAGGACAAATGTATGCTGAATAAGGCTAAAGTCTGTATTTGTTTTCATTGGGTTTTCCAGAGATGCTGTCAATTCAACTGCTTCTTGGATCCTGTGATTTAGCAGTAGCAATGAAGTCTTAAACATAAATTGCACTCAAAGATCAAGGAGCCTGTAGCTACAGAACTTGTGATACATATCTTGAGAAGATGAAAGCTAAATTAACAATGAATTTCACACAATTTTCAATGTAAAAACAAAGATACTGTTCTGAGAAGTGCTCTATAATTGGAATCAATGTTGCTCCCTTAACACCAGGGATAAAACTCCCTCTGGTTCTTAGAGGTCCACTGCGAGATCCATTTTATTCTGTTCTGCTGAGCACCTTTTCCATCTCCCTCATAACCCTCTTACTGTGCACTTTTTAGGGAGGTACTCAGCTGCCATTTGTTGTTTATGACTCTTTCTTCCTTTCAAATCCAAAAAGAAATTTGTGCTGTTTATTTTTTATTTAAAATGTGTTCCTTTCCTATCTGCTGTGCTATGTACATTTGTACTAAAGCCAAGAACTGCAACCCTTTAAACAAAAAAAACAGCTCTTTTTTTCTGGCGAAAAGGAAAGTTACCTGGTAACAGACTGTGGTTAAGGAGCAAATATGTTGAATTACAGTCCTTCAGAGACTCTTCAGGGTGTAATGGCCTGACTGCCTGAAAGATAAGGAAAGAAACAAGAGCACTTTGATAATTTCTTGGATTGCTCGAGGGCTGGCCTGCTTCATTCTGGTATGAACGGAGCCATAAAGGCAGATGACTTCATATCCCCTTATTTTGTACTGCTGTAATTCATCCAAGAGGTGACAAAGTCATGTTTTATTGAGGCCATGTCATCACTTGCCAGGATGGGACAAAATCTCCTTGCCAACCACAGATGGTAAAAAGCATTCACAAGCTCTATTACACAAGAGCTTTGCTGATACAGAACTTCCCATACTCACACAAAAAAAATTGCCCTTTATTTGCAATTTGGGATATTTTTTTGTGCCCTTGGCTATGATGTGACATAACAACACTGCTTCATGAATGTTCATGAATACACCTCTGTAAAATCCTCAAGGTGCACAGGCAGCTTTCGGAGGAAGGTGCATGTGAGGGAGCAGCAAGGGCAGATTGCTGCGCGGGAGGAGGAGAGCCAGGAGTGGAGGGAGGGTGACAAGGCATGGAGAGACAGTGACTTTGGTAAAAAGAGTCACTGTCCCACAGCACTCAAACAGGAAGAGCAGGGCAGGCTGTTGACAATAATCTGCCAAAACTCTGTTGAGAACTGGGCAGGTCTGGGGAGGAGTTTGTGCTGTCGCGTGGGTGTTGGGGCACTAGGTGGGGTTCAGGAACGGGGCCACCAGGCTTGTTCAGTGTCTGAGCCAAAATGTGGCTTTTGCTGGCAGCAGGACCCTGAAGTGGCTGCCCTCATCAGCACTGCCCCAGCCCTGCTCACCAGCAATGGAATGGTCAGGGAGCAGCCTCAGGCAGGGGCAGACCCCACAGCACCTACCACTGGGACCCTACACTGTCTGCAGAATTTAACATGGGAATGATTTTGTTGCAC